AGGAGGGCCTGGCAGTCCAGGGCCTTGCTGGGTGTCTTTCCCAGGAGGGCTCTGCCTGCAGCTTTTCTCCAGGGCTGTCTGCTTTTCCGGTAGGTTCTGCTTCAGACGAGCCCCTATCACGTGGACTCGCTGCTGCAGCTCAGCGACGCCTGCCGCTTTCAGGAGGATCAGGAGATGGCCCGAGACCTCGTAGGTAAGACAGCTCGTTCGTGGGAGCGGCACAAGCCGACAGGCACACGTGTTTTATGAGATGACGGGATACAGACGAACTTGGCAAGAGGTTTATAAAATAGCAGCTTTGCTGAGACATAATTCGCACACCGTGAGACTCACCCGTTTAAAGTATACGAGTCACCGGTTTTCAGTTCGTGCCAGAGTTGCACAGCTATCGCCACAGTTGGTTTCAGATTATTTTCATTACCCATAAGAGACACCCCCGCCCCCAGAACCACTGATCTACTTCCTGCCTCTGTGGATTTGCCTGCTCTGGACATGTCGTGTGAACGCGGTGATACGCTACGCGGCCCTCTGTGGCTGGCTTCTTCCACCACCGTGTTTCCAAGGCTCACCCTCTTAGCCTGCGTCAGACCTTCGTTCCTTCCGATGGCTGAATGACAGTCCACCGTGCGGATAGACCACATTTTGTGTATCTGTCCTCAGTTGATGGACGTCTCAGGGCCGTTTCCACTTTTTGGCTGTTGTGGGCGGTGCTGCTGTGAACACGGCTATGCAGATTTTGCGTGGACGCGTGTTTGCGTCACATGCCTAGACTCCCAGTGCTACCAGGACACGGTGTCGGTCAGACGTCCTGGTGTTTAAGACGTTTCCCTCCGAGGCTCACAGGTTCTGTGGTTGACGTAAACCCAGAGAGGCACTGGGGTCACCCGAGAGGTCCGTGCCCTCTCAGTGTCCAGAAGCCTAGTTATGTGAGTTCCTTCCAGGCCTTTCCTCATTGCTAGTCATCTAGCAACATCTAGAGGAGGGGTCGCACTACTGTGCGCAGCCGTGACACCCCCCACCCCCGTGTCCCTGTGCTGCAGAGAGAGCCCTGTACAGCATGGAGTGCGCGTTCCACCCCTTGTTCAGTCTCACCAGCGGGGCGTGCCGGCTGGATTACCGCAGACCTGAGAACAGGTGAGTGGGGCCCACCGTGGGACTGACGCCTGAGGGAGCAGCTTGTGCCAGTGGGGCTCACCTCCCCCTGTCCTGGGCATCAGGGGCCCCACCAGTGGCTGCCACAGCGTCGTAGGTGGCACACGACTGTCCCTGAGGGTGGACCGGGGCCCTGCGGGTCCAGGACTACTCGAAAGTACCTGCTCAAGACAGAGCTTAAAAGCAGGGGCTGGGTTTGAGTTTGCCCACGTGAGAAGTCGCCACCCTGGGATCCTCGCTGCATTTGCCTGCGTGTCTGGGTGAAGGGCTGTATCCCTGGCAAGTTTATAACATCTTGGGTGCTTTGCAGGTGTGTGTCCTGATTCTTCAGTGAGCAGCTCAGATTCCGCCTGATCCTGTTCCCCAGGTTGAGTGCTCACGTGTGGCACATGCTTCTTTCAGACACTGTCCCTGCAGCCAGCTCTGTGGCCCCAGCCCTCCCCGGTCAGACCGGGACGGCTGCAGCACCTCCCTCCTGGCCCTCCCGCGGGCTTGCCCCTCGGCCTGCGCTGCGGGGACCTGTGCGTGTGGACCCGCCCTCTGCCCGTGTGTCTTCCTCGCCACCCTGTATCTGGCGCCCTGTTACGCACCAGCCTCCCACTCCTGCAGGAGGTGGATCGAGTGCTCGTAGTTCCAGGCCCGCGAGGCCAGGTGGTCCACAGGCAGCAGCGTGCACGGGGGCTCCTCATGCCTTTGCGTTCTCTAGCTGCTGTTGACTGTCCCCAGTGTGGGACACTCCCTCTCCTCAAGGCCGTCCCAGGGCGCCGAGGCTCATGGACCCTGCTGCACAGATCTCACGGCGTGCCGGGTCTGGCTTCTCTCCACCATTTTCCTTTGTGCTAGTTTTATCTCTTCCTATTAAGTTCATAGTTCTTTGAAATAGTTTTTAAATATTAATATTTTCATGCATGAAAGGGACACAGGGCTGTTTCTTGGTAAAGATGCCCGTCCACCAGCTGACTAAAGTCATGGGACTTCATGCATCCAATAGGAGAACTGTTAACTGTTGAAATTTAAGGATAAACTAAGATCATAATTATAATGGGAGATTTTAACTCTCTTCCCTTAAATGATAAATAGTAAACAAAAAACATGATAAGGGCCAAGCGTGGTGGCTCACACCTGTAATCCTAACACTTTGGGAGGCTGAGGCAGGTAGATTGCTGGAGGCCAGGAGTTCAAGACCAGCCTGAGCAAGAGTGAGACCCGGTCTCTACAAAAAAATAGAAAAAGTAGCTGGGTGTGGTGGTGCCTGTGGTCCCAGCTACTCGGGAGGATGAGGCAGGAGGATCACTTGAGCTGGGACTTTGAGGCTGCTGTGAGCTGTGATGATGCCACTGCACTCCAGCCTGGGCTACAGAGTGAGACTGTCTGAGAAAAAATAAAGAAATATTTCAAATAAGCTTGATTTTCAACGTACAAATAAGTTTACAACTTCGTAAACAGCAAGTAGAGCACACACCTTCAGACACGTGGGGAGCGTTCACAGGTGTCCCCTGCACCAGGCCATGTAGGAAATGCCAACAAAACCCAGAGTCAGAGGGCAGGCTGGGGAGGGTGCCGCGCACAGCTTTCTGCTTCACTCTGACCACATGGAACTTCTTCCTACCCAGGAGCTTCTACCTGGCCCTCTACAAGCAGATGAGCTTCCTGGAGAAACGAGGCTGCCCGCGCACGGCGCTGGAGTACTGCAAGCTCATTCTGAGGTGAGTGTCTGCCGGGGCGCCCAGCCGCCTGTCCTCGCTGCAGTGGCCGCAGATCCCCAGACATCTGTGCTGCCCACTCCGGACCGTGACGGCGTCTCCTCTGCCCCCCTTTGCTCTGTTCACGGCGGTGCCTCTGGAAGCCTCGAGCCGGATGAGGACCCCCTGTGCATGCTGCTGCTTGTGGACCACCTGGCCTTGCGGGCCCGGAACTACGAGTACTTGATCCGCCTCTTCCAGGAGTGGGAGGTAGGTGCGAGTCGCGCTGTCACTCGGAGGGACGTCTGTTTCTTCTGTTTCTTCGCCTCTCTTGGTCTGGCATCCTGTGTGCCGGAACGGTGAGGGTTGGGCGCAGAACCAGGTCCTCCTGCCTTTGAGTCTCTCTCTCCACCTTGCTGAGCGGGATGCGTCCTCCCTAGCGGGGCACAGCAGCCCAGGAGAAGAGCCCTCGGGCGTGCACAGAAGCGTGCGTGCAGGGACGGTGGTGCTACGAGTGAACGAGGGGCAAGACCCCAGAGTCATCGTGGGCCGTACAGGAAGATGCAGGCAGGAGGTCGGGGAAGGTCGTGGGCTGACATGGGACCCCAGCAAGTGCCCTGGAAGGGCAGGCCCATGTTTTGAGTGTGGGGTGTCTGCACCCCAGAAGTGCTGAACCGACAGACACGTATTCGTGACCAATGACATACGCCACGTCAGATTCGTGTGTCAGTGCGCAATTGAAGACCTGGGGCCTCCTTGGGCCCAGACACCTGGTCCAGGTGCTCGGAGTGCTGAGGCCCACGTCAGGTTCTGACTCACCACGAGAAACGAACGTAAACTGCCTTGGATGACTTTTACGTTGATACATGTTGGAGTGATAATTGAGGTGTCCTGGCTTAAATACAGCGTATTAAGATCAATTTCACCTGTTTTTAATGCAGCTACTAGAAAGTTTAAACTGCCACCTGGGCTCCTGCGGGGAGCGCTTGTCCGGAAGGACACGTCGGACCCTGGAATGCCAACCTCCAGCAGGGCCGGGCGGAGGAGGGGGACAGCTTTTGACTTCCTCTTTCTGTGCTTGAATTTTTCCATAGCACATGTTCACGTGTGATGAAAAATAGGTAAATCATTTTGAGTTATGCGTTTGGCAGGGTTGGCCAGGAAGTCTCACCTGCAGTGATGTAGTTCGGAGAGACACTCGGAGAGCAGGAGCGGCGGAGATTCAAGCGTGCCAAGGAGTTCTCTGTTGCTGGGAGGGAGGGAGTCGGGGCTGGCACGTCAGGGCAGCTCTGGGCGCCGGGAGCAGCCCTGGCAGATGGGTAGCGAGAAAATGGGGGCTTCAGTCCTAACACCACAAGGAACCGAGTTCTGCCCGCAGCAGGAAAGAATCTGGAAGAGGACCCAAAGTGCCAGGCAAGAATGCAGGCAGCCGACAGCCTGACTTAAGCCGGAGTGGAAAACCCAGCCACGTCCTGACAGACTCCTGACGCATAAAACTGTAGCACGTGTTTTACAAACTGAAGGTTGTGACGACCCCGCCCTGAGCAGGCCGACGGCACGTGCCCGGGTCGCCTTCTGCGTCTGCGAGGCTGCCTGCGCTCCGCTGTGCGACGGGCCACGTTCTCCTTACCTGTTCGTTGCCGAGGACGTTTCGTTGCTTCCGCCTCTTGGCTCCTGGGAATGATGCTGCAGGGGACGGAGCCTGCAGACGCCTCTTTATTTCATTTTTCGGTGACTTTTTCCCTGTGGTTACAACGTGCATCTTCGGCTCACCACAGTGTAACTCAAATAACGTCTCCCTGCTTCACACGTGAAGGAGGGACCTTACGACTATAAAAAAAAGAAGAAAAAGAAAATACCCGGAACTCCTGAGAACATACTTGGGGGGAGACCTCAGCGAGTCCCCCAGACTGAGGCTGCAGGAAAAGTTTTGATGGTTTGTAGGTTGCAGAGCTCCATGAAGACCATGATCCCATTTTAATGGAAGAAAACGCAGAGTCCCGCGTCTGTTACGCCCCTGTGTGGGCAGAGGCGGGAAGAGCGCTGGAAAGTGGTCGCGGACAGCTCTCCTGCTGGGGGTTGCTCGGGGCAGCTGCTGTACTCGTCCCATCCCGTGTCCTTCTGCCTTTTCTGCACGTGGAAAATCCCCCAGCTGGAGGCTCAAGTTATCTTTATACTAAGTTAAAGAGATGCCTGCAAAACGCATCTGCTCGCTGGAGCGCAGCTCGTGACGCCAGCGTCTGTGAACTTCACGTGTTTGTCTCCATGACCCTGAGGCCCCAAACTCTGTCTGTTCACCCCTTGTAGGGTCATCGAAACCTGTCTCAGCTCCCAAATTTCGCCTTCTCCGTTCCATTGGCGTATTTTCTGCTGAGTCAACAAACAGACCTCCCCGAGCAGGAGCTCGGCTCTGCCAGGGAAAAGGCCTCTCTCTTGATCCGACAGGCTCTCACCATGTTCCCTGGAGGTAGGTGCTGCATCTCCTGGAGGTAGGCAGCCCCTGGCAGCTCGTCTTCCTGGTGGCGGAGGCCGGGTCCCAGCCCTCCTGCACTTACAGAAAGGTGCATTCTCCAGTAAGCCCTAAAAACATGCCACAGCTAGAGTTTGGAAGCTGATCCACCCATCTCCGTGAGCCCACTGCGTGCCAGGCCCGACTCCGCCACAGGAGAGGGACAAACACTCCTGCCCCGGGGGCTGCGTCCTAGGGCGGGGAGACAGGGTTGGCTGGAAGATGCGATGTGTTAGACGGTGTTCAACGTGTCAGGTGATCTCTGGGGAGGGGAGAGCGCGGGGAGGTGTCTACAAGGTGCTGGGGCACATCACGGAGGACGTCGTAAAGGAGCACAACACCCAGGACAGGGCCGTGCTCCGTGCCACCGGGGCGGGGAGAGAGGCCCACGTGGCTCAGTGGCTCTGGGTGGACTCTGCATCCTCAGCTGCCCCCGAGCCCGACTGTGCGTCTCCACGCGCCTGCATCCGCACCCAGGGCAGGCTCGGCAAGGCTGCTGCCGGTCGGGTCAGGGAGGTCGGCCCTTCCCAAAAACATGGGTGAAAGCCCTCTCCAGACAAGGCTCCCTTGACGGTCCCTGGGTGTGTGGGTGAGCGTCGCTTGCACGCAGCTGGTGTGTGCACGCTGCGTGACCATGTGTCTTCTGTTAGAAAGTCCTGGAGTCAGCACTGCTTCATTGGAGGCCCCCAGCGTGGGGCTGGGCCACCCCAGCATGGCAGAGCTGTCCACCAGCAGGGCCTTGCCGGGGTCCCGCCCGCTGACCCAAGAGGCTCATCTCCTTTGTCTAAGAAGCTGCCTCCGTCCCCTGGGGTCGAATGTAGCTGGCGTGTCCTCTGTCCCCTTGGAGCGGCGGTGTGGCACGGGCTTGTCCGGGCCCTGCGTGAGCACAGCAGGGCTGCCCCGGCTGCTCTCAGAGTGGCAGTCACCCAGCAGGCAGGCTGTCCAGGGAAGCCACAGTCACTCAGCCAGAGAGCGCTGCACGCAGGGTGGGCTGAGGCAGGCTCTGCCCCAGGGGACGGGGCACCCAGGGCCCATGCCTCAGCGGGTCGGCCGCTGCCCCCACCAGTCTGCTGTGGGGTCTGGTCTTTATGATCGAATCAGCTACCTGCGTGTGCTTGGAGGGTCCCGGGTGGGTCTCCCTTGGAGGCAGAAGTGGATGCCGGGAGGGACATCCACCCGCATGGTCACAGCTCCTCAGGGCCCTGGGAGCTGCAGACCCTGGTGCCCCGGGTGGCAACAGCTAGGAACGCTGGTCGCAAACTCGGACCCCCTGGCTTTCTACTCCTGCACTTTGCAAACACCAAGCTGCGTCTGGGACGGGACCTCAGCCCTGGGGCTGGGAGTGGCCGGGGCAAGGTGCTCAAAGGGCCCTGACCGGAGCCTTTGCCCCCCCCAGTCCTCATGCCCCTGCTGGAGTACTGCAGCGTGCGGCCCGATGCCACTGTCGCCAGCCACCGCTTCTTTGGACCCAATGCCGAGATCAGGTAAGAGCACAAGGGCCTGGGTGTGGGTGCCAGGCACAGGCGCCCCGGTCCCTGTCCTCGGAGTCAGCGGGGCTCTGGCTGCCCTCAGCACTGCTGCCCCGGGTGAGCACAGGCTGAGACGGTGACCTTGGGGACGCAGAGCTCCTGGGGGAGCTGGGGCTGTTGTCCCACCAGGGAAGGCTCTGGAGCCCCCGACCAAGTGGAGACACCCTCCCCTCTGCGAGGGGGCCCAGTGAGCAGCGTCCAGCTTAAAAATGAGGCTCACCTAGGTGCTTCCTGATGGGGGCAGTTGGGGGCGTCGGCAGCCCTGGGGGCGCACAGTGCCGGGCGGGGAGATGGGGCTTCCCGGTTTCTGTGTGGCACATGTCGCTCGGTGCCTTTTACAAATTGTTACTAAAAGTAAAGAGGCTGGGCGCGGTGGCTCACGCCTGTAATCCTAGCACTCTG